GGTGTACTTCCCCCGATGCGGTAACCTGTACGTCCAAAACGGTTTCCGCACACACACCGAACATGCCTGTGCCGCAATTGCTCCTGGCAACGCGAAAGCGCCCAGCACCCCCGTTGACATCAACGATTTCCACTGCGCGCACGGCCACTCCCACGAGGTGCTGCTGAGGACCACGGCGAAGCAGCAAGGGACGACGCTGGTTGGCGAGCTCCGGTAGTGCTTGGGGTGCTCGACGGCGAAGGGGCTTGGCAAGCCCAACCCCATTAAGACGTCGACCCGAGCAGTAAAGAAACTGCAGCGAGTTTTCGTGGATTTGAGTGGAAAAGCTAGGGTGCAGAGCTTGGGGGGTGGTATACTCTCATTGTCAAGAATGATCACACAAGGTCGAACCGTGTCTATTTCCTGAAGCACAAATCAGACAGAGCTGAGGCATTCGGGAGGTACCTTGCCGAAAACCGGGCAGACGGTGCCCCGTCCGATGTCATGGTCGTGAGATCTGACAACGGAGGAGAGTTTTTTTAGGGAGAGTACGGCAGGGTGTGCCGGAAGTACTGCATCAAACAAGAGTTCACCCTCGCGCACAGCCCAGAATACAACGGTGTAGCTGAGAGAGCACTGGGTCTGATCAAGGATGCAGCACTAGCCGCCCGTATCCAAGCGCCAACTCTTTACCCCGGAGCACCGAACTACCCCATCTCTTTGGGCTGAGGCCATAGCCTGGTCATGCAACGCCCTGAACTGCACCTCAACCACATCCAGCTCAGAAAAGTCGCCGAAGTCGCCGTACGAGATGTGGCACGGGCNGGGGCTAGAGGCGAGGGTGGTGCGAGAGCTGCTGTCCGAGCGCGCGGAGGAGGCCCACGCTGCGCGCCAAGAGGCGGAGGATTTCCTGCTGGGTACGGTGGACCTCATGCTCAACTGGCTAGACGCCTTCGAGACGGCCGTGACGTCCCACGAGCTAAGTAAATCCCCCATAGGCAAGCGCGCGAGTGATGTAGAAGCCCCACCCATGACTGTAGCCGGCGTTGTCAAGTCTGTTTACAGAGAGGGATGGGAACAGGCCATGAGAGAAGAGTTTGAAGGGCACTTGGGCACGATGACGTTTTCATTCGTAGACGGCGCGCCAGAGGGGCGCAGGCCTGTGTGCTCAAGTGGTGTTTTTGTTGGAAGACCAACAAGGAAGGGAAGATAGACACGCTAAAGCGCGTCTGGTTGCTAGGGGGTTCTCGCAAATCCCGAACGTCGATTATTTCCATTCGTCTCCTCCTTGCCCCTCATCCGCATCCATTAAGCTGATGCTTGCGGTAGCAAACGAAAAGGGTATGAACCTCAATCACCGGGATGTGAAGCAGGCGTATACACACGCTACGCTAGACGTGGATGCATTTCTGAGCCTCCCCGCTGGGTGCGGGGACAAATCGCATAAGATTGTTGNTTGCTAGGGGGTTCTCGCAAATCCCGAACGTCGATTATTTCCATTCGTCTCCTCCTTGCCCCTCATCCGCATCCATTAAGCTGATGCTTGCGGTAGCAAACGAGAAGGGCATGAACCTCAATCACTGGGATGTGAAGCAGGCGTATACACACGCTACGCTAGACGAGGAGGTTTTTCTGAAGCTCCCCGCTGGGTGCGGGGACAAGTCGCATAAGATTGC